AGCCATATCTCTGAGTTTTGAGTGGGCGCATGTCGCCAGTATGCTGCGTTGCTGTTTACAGGCATGAAAAGTGTGTTTGAAAACGAGTCTGATTGCAGAGGACTGCATTTCACCCGCAAAGGTCACGGCATAGAAAGGTTCAAAAAGTGTAGAATGCTAGAACGTAAACTATCAGTCCATCCGAAGCTAAATTGACGAACCAAAAAATGCATTTTGCGCTGCCTAAAAGTGACAGGTGGTACCAGCCTTTGCAAAAATCAACACGGTACGGTACCAGCCTCTGTATTATTGAAAAATCTGGGCCTCCCACATACATTTTGGCGCCTGAAGTTCCTGTTCATCCGTCGCTCTACTGGCTCTGGGCTGAATGGCCTGCAATGAACCCAGATCGTGAAAACAGTTATCAACAATGCAAGTCCAGATGAATGTCAACAGCTGATGATTACCAATAATCAAGATCGTGTCCAGACAGAATGAGACGAGATAATCATACACAGACGAAGGAGACAGGAGGGAGATTAGACAAAGGAGAGGAAATACAATGCCCACTCCTGCTTCGGGCTCCCTCCTCCAACACCACTTCAATAATCGACAGTCTGAACGAGTATATGAAGTAACCTCAATGTGCCACGTGGCACGTCTAATTAGTCCCTCAGCAGCACTGGAGCAATGTCAACATGAAGACAACCAGGTACGTATTCACGATCTCTCCACAGTCCTGATCTTCCTCTTCCTCGCAACTAGTCACCTCATGTAGACAGCGTGGACAATGCCACGTCAATGAAGACAATAGCAGCGCCACGTAGACCAGAAGCAGCGCCACATTTAGCAGGGGCAGCGCCACATCAGCATGCCACGTAGACCAGAGGCAGCGCCGCGTATACCAGAGGCAGTGCCACGTCAGCATGCCTCGTAGACTATAGGCAGCACCACATATACCAGAGGCAGCGCCACGTCAGCATGCCACGTAGACCATAGGGAGCGCCACATCAGCATACCATGAAGACTACAGGCAGCGCCACATCAGCATGCCTGGCGTACAATTCCAGCGTGCTGCCTCTTCCTCGTGTCGTCGTCCGCAGCTCTGATGCACAGCCAGCGTCTAGCCAGCGTCGCGCTAGCATAATGCCAGCGTCAAGTCAAAGTCAAGCCAGCGTTGAACCAGCATAGCAAGACTGAATGCTGACCACCTCGAGGCCAGTCTTTAAGTAGCATTTGGCGAGGTTCTCTGGCCTCGGGTCTCCTTCCCTCAGTCGTCCAGATTGAGTCACAGCCGTAGGCCTGGATCGTACAGTCGCAGACCTTTCCCCTTGGACCTTATGCTGTCTGGGTACCTGCATACAAACAATTGTGTGTGCTTGACCGGCGGCCTGGACTGGGTACCTTTGGACTTTGACCGTTGGGGTCAAGGCAGTTGACAAAAGTCAACTGTCTCACGTCCAGGCCCTGAATGTTCGTGTGGGGTCTTTACCCCTGTTTTGGCCTGGGCTGAGGGCAGCCGAGTTGGCCCTCAGTCTTTCCACGAGACATATGGCATGGGTTACTGCAGGCCCAGGGGCGCTAATCATATACAAAACGGATGAACATTTACTTTGGATGGAGTGGTGGTTTGAGAAACAAAAAAAAGAACGGTGGATGTCGAAAAGAGAAATGACGAGGAGAAACTTTGGTGAGGCGTGAAGGAAATGTGAGCTTCCTTCCTGACAGAAATGGATTCGCACTGATGGGCCCAAGGACATGATCCTCTTTTTTGGAAGTTTTCCCCTGTTCTTTCTTTCATGAGGTTTGGAGCCTGAAGATCTCGTAACACGTATTTTGCCTTTTCAGTTAATCCACCACTCCGTCCGGGCCTGTTCTGAGAACTTATGAGAAACCAAAATTTTCATTTCCCTGAGCCTAAAATCTACAGTACCACTGTGCAGAAAATAGTTCTGCTGCCTTTCCCCACCAGACCTTCACTGGGCCTGGGGACCGTAGACTTTGGCCCGGTACTAGATGACAAGAAAAATGAACAGTGCAGGGGCAGTTGGAGTGGTGGTTTAAGTCATGCACTGCTGAAAATCCTATCATTAAAGGATTGAGCATATAGTACATGTATTCACGCCAGCCCCTTGTAATTGTAGAATTGCAAATCAGTGGCCAGATCGATTCATCCTTTCAGAAGAAGTCGATTTGGCTGCTGATTTTTTTATTTTCCAATTATAAGGGCCTGGTAGTGTCAATATGCCCTTGATAAGTTTGCGGGAGAGTGGGGCTGCTGGGTCTTGTTGCGTATCTTGTGCTTACCCACTTCTTGTCTATCTTGGCCTTGAGTTTGAGGACTTCTGTAACTTTCTGGGTCTATCAGAAGAACTCGATTTAGCCGCTGATTTTGCGATTTTCCAATTATAAGGGCCGGGTAGTGTCAAAAAAAGAAAAAAGAAAGAAAGGGCCTGGTAGTGTCAATATGCCCTTGATAAGTTTTGCGGCAGAGTGGGGCTGCTGGGTCTTGTTGCATATCTTGTGCTTACCCACTTCTTGTCTATCTTGGCCTTGAGTTTGAGGACTTCTGTAACTTTTTGGGTCTTTTTGGGCAGTTCTTCATTTCCTCCGGATGTCGGGGCAGGCAATCTCGTCGCTAGTCTTGAGCTCGTCCACTTCTTGTCGTCTTGGCCTCAGAGTTCGAGGCGTTATGCAACTTTTCGGGCTTCCCGGGAAGCTCTTCGTTTTCTTGAGTTGTTGGTCCAGGTTGTGGGTTCAAATCCGGCCTTAGCGCAATATGGATCTCTTGTAATTGTTATCCAGCCACTAAGCTAGGCTGTGTGTTCAATGTAAGGTAACCTCTCTTCGCTTGATTTTTGTGTTTGCCTGCCACAGGCTTTTGCGAAGGACAGAGAAGAAGTTATGTCCCATGTGACAAAGCTTCGATCGATTGTCGCCAGATTCAACCAAGCAGGAAGTGGTCACTTGGGTCGAGCGGACCTCTCTGTTGATGTGATGGACCTCTCACTGGATGGCGAATGCGCGTGTGAATTTTCTTCTGGGCATCCTGAGCATTTGTCTGCCATGTAAGTGATATGCCCATCCTTTACCTATCTGTGGGGCCAAGTATGCGGCACCCCCTTCTGCAGAGTCAGCGTGAAGCTGAACAAGTCCCCACTTGGCCGACGTTGTTTGAATGAGTGGAAGGGGTAAACACGAGAACCCAGTTGAGGCCAGCTGATTCATCGCCCTGTCTCTCTCTTTCATTTATATTTAAGAGTTTATTCTGTAGCCTCTTTCTTTTTGTTTACTCTTCTTAAGAAAAGTGCGACGGCCTTAAGATATGTGATCATCCAACTGAGCGGCCCTAGGTAATTCGGAATTAGGGTAGTATTTTATTCATCTGCTTCCAGTGGAGATCAAACTCAGGTCTGTAGTTCAACGGTTCAGGGGTGCACCAAACGCGCTACCTTCTTCCCCCGAACATAACGCGTATGCATTGTATTCGAGTTTCAAAATTTGAAAAAAAAATTGTATAGAACGCATATGCGTTGTATTCAAAATTTTGTGCTATTCGAATAGAATGCATATGTGCTGCATTCGAATAGAACACACCTTATGCGTTGTATTCGTTTACAACATATGCGTTATGTTTGGGGGAAGAAGGTAGGCCAGCTTGTACTTTTTAAGCCCTTGGGGTTGCTGTATCCCACTGTAGGAGATGCTGTGTCCAATGGGATTGTAGGTTGCTCATGCTGATGAATGGATCGTTTCCACTCCTTTGTATGTAGCGTTCAGCCGCTGGACAGGTTGGTAAGTAACCCCCCCAATCAACCCCCTCCTCTGCATCTCCAGACTTGGGCCCCCTCTAGCTATGTTATTTTGACAACACTATAATTACTCACCTCCAAGCTTATGCTAGCCTTACTACATGTCCATGGCTACTACCCATCCCCTCTCTCTCTCTCTCTCTCTTTCTCTCTCTCTCTCTCTCTCTCTCTCTCTCTCTCTCTCTCTCTCTCTCTCTCTCTCTCTCTCTCTCTCTC